ATGATAAAAGCGAATGTATTAAATGCTGCGAACATCCGCCCCATAACCAGAACCACCAGTGCTATCCCATACAGATTCCGGCCAACGATCCGTTTTACAAGTACTTTGACCGCCAGTGTATGGATTTCCTTCGGTCACTACCGGGCGTCAAACCTAACTGTCCGCTTGGGCCGCGCGCCCAACAAAACTCCATATCCTCGTACATCGACGCCAACTTTATCTACGGTTCCACACAGGAAGTGGCCACTCGGCTCCGGGAGTTCACGGGTGGCCGTCTGAAATCGTCGCCCATCTATCATGAGTTGGGTATGAAAGACCTGTTACCGATGAAAGTCAAAGACCCGGAGCTCGGCTGCGAACGTACCGGTCGTCCCCGTAATCTCTATTGTTTCGACGGCGGCGACGAACGACTCAACGAACAGTTGCAGCTGACAGTCATGCATACCGTATGGCTTCGGGAACACAATCGACTGGCCGGTGAATTGTCACTATTGAATGGGCACTGGGATGACGAACAACTGTATCAGGAAACCCGTCGGCTGATGGGCGCCGTTATCCAACATATTACGTTCAACGARTTTYTRCCGCTAATCATCGGCCGCAAAGCTATGRCCAACTATGGCCTCGATCTGATGCCCAATGCTACTATCGKGGATATGACCCGAAAGTCAATCCCGGTGTCCGWACSGCTTTCCAGGCGGCGGCCTTCCGATTCGGTCACTCCATACTACCCGATGTTACCGAACGYTATAATAAATATCACGAAAAAGTCGAATCCATACGACTGTCGGCATTGTTGAGACAACCGTACGAACTATACAAACCGGGATCAGTCGACTCGTTTATGTTRGGYCTAATCAATCAGCAAACCTATCGTATGGACAGCGAAATTACKACCGAAGTTACCAATCATTTGTTTGAAAARCCGGGCGAAAAGTTTGGCCTCGACTTGGCYTCGATGAACGTACAGCGTGGCCGCGAAATGGGTGTTCCCGGCTATAACGAGTTCCGGGACTATTGCGGTCTACCGAAATTGAAGGGTTGGCCAGATTTGCGCGGCTATTTCTCAAACAAAACTATCCAACGATACGTTAGCCTATATAAATCGGTCGACGATATCGATCTATGGTCGGCCGGTATATCCGAATATCCACTGCCCGGYGCTMTGRTCGGCCCGACGTTTGCCTGTATTATTGGCGAACAGTTTGGTCACGTCCGACGGGGCGATCGTTTTTGGTACGAAAACGGCGGCGGCGGCGGTGACGATGGCCACCAAAATAACGGTTGGCCATCACAGTTTACGCCCGAACAACTGGCCGAACTTCGAAAGGCCAAACTGGCCCGACTGTTGTGCGACAGTTCCGATGATATACATACCATACAGTTGTATCCCATGCTTAAGGCCAACTCGCAAGCGTACGGCTTATTATTTWTTATTATTATTATTATTATTATTATTATTAGTAGTAGTAGTAGTAGTAGTAGTAGTAGTAGTAGTAGTAGTAGTAGTAGTAGTAGTAGTAGTAGTAGTAGTAGTAGTAGTAGTAGTAGTAGTAGTAGTAGTAGTAGTAGTAGTAGTAGTAGTAGTAGTAGTAGTAGTAGTAGCAGCAGCAGCAGCAGCAGCAGCAGCAGCAGTAGTAGTAGTAGTAGCAGCAGCAGCAGTAGTAGTAGTAGTAGTAGTAGTAGTAGTAGTAGTAGTAGTAGTAGTAGTAGCAGCAGTAGCAGCAGCAGTAGTAGTAGTAGCAGCAGTAGTAGTAGTAGCAGCAGCAGCAGTAGTAGTAGTAGTAGTAGTAGTAGTAGTAGTAGTAGTAGTAGTAGTAGTAGTAGTAGTAGTAGTAGTAGTAGTAGTAGTAGTAGTAGTAGTAGTAGTAGTAGTAGTAGTAGTAGTAGTAGTAGTAGTAGTAGTAGTAGTAGTAGTAGTAGTAGTAGTAGTAGTAGTAGTAGTAGTAGTAGTAGTAGTATTATTATTATTATTATTATTATTATTATTATATTATATTATTATTATTATTATTATTATTATTATACATATATAATACGGTTTGTAATACAAACTTTGTATTATAATAGCAAACACTGCTGTATACTGTATATCGCGCATATAGTGTTGTATAACATATACAGTATATATATATATATATATATATATATATATATATTACAGTATATACTGTACTACTATTAACACTACATATACACTAAATCATATATATATTGAGGTTCTGGATATTTTTTTTAATGCCCGGGCCTCACATGTAATATAGTGTGTCTAACAAACAGTGTAGATGTAGTCTAACAGTAACTATAATAACTAACTAAAAAAGCGAGGGGGGGCTATTAGTAATGACAGTTACCCTCCCTCTCCCACCTATTAATAGGCATTTTATATAACAATTGTATATATACTGTATATAAAACAGTTATTATTATTACTATTTGTTTTAAACAATAAATTTATTGGCCATCAAATTTCGGATACAAATATCCAACAAATAGCTAACAAACTCAATGGTCTAACCCGTGATAACAGTAGTATTACATTGACTATGAAATCGGCGGACACTACCAAACAATCGGAGTTAATGTCGATGACTGCCATTTTGATTATAAGGAAACAAAAATTTTTCCCATTATTTGTATTTTTTGTTTGTTTGTTTTTTATTATTAATAAAATAAAAAAATTAATAAAACATTACTTTCAGTAGTATTTAAATTTGAATTTTTAGGTTTAATAATACTATAAGTAATAAAAAATATATTTATAAAAATTCATTGTCTACTATAGCATATCATCGGTTAGTTTTTAGTTTATTTATTTTTATTATTTAACTAATAATAATAATAATAATAATTATAAAGTTAAACTAAAACAATATATATATATATATATTGCAAATATTATATTATAGACTATATTATTAGACTATTTTTAGTAATATTTAAATTTGAACTTTTTTTGTCTGAATTTTGTTTAATACTATATAAATATATTAAAATATGTATAAATTCAGGTCTACTATAGTAACCAATCGGTTAGTTTCAGTTATTTTTTTAATATTAATTTCACTAATCTTTTTAAGTTAAACTAAACAAATATATATATATAAATTTAAAAAAAAAGTAAAAATAATATTTGCTAATATTTTTGCAGATTATTTAGTGTGTTATCCATACCATCATCACTGATGGCGACGGCAGTGATAATGACATACAATAAGTGTCAAACAAATAGCAAACAGTAATCGTAACCAACTGTTGTCTGGCAATTGGTTTGCAGATCATTATCATTGCATCCCTGGCCAACATCGACAACACGATCGGTACATATATATATTTTTGCATAACATTTTGTTATGTAATATATATATATTTTTGTTATTATTGTATTGTTAAGTGCAATATTAAAACGTTAAAAGTTATAAATAAATAAAAATAAAAATTAATCAATAATAACAATGAAAATAAAATCTAATATTATTTATAATATTATTGTTGTATTTTCAGGTATTGAATAATATTTAAATATTTAAATAAATAATTAAAATTAAACATATTTTTTATAAAATTTTTTTCTCAATTATTATTTAACGGTTATTATTATTATTATTATTATTTTTGATACAAACTAAATGTTAATTATATAATATTTGTATATAAAATAGACTATAGTTATGAATATAATATTTATATTACAATAAAAATACAATAAAAATCTAAATAAATGCATTTAAAAATAATTAATTACAATTAAATTTATATTAATATATTTGTATATATTATTTTTATTAAATATTTTAATTATTTATTATTTTATAATATTATATATATATTGATTTATTAATAAATTTATAAATAAAAAATTATATATTTAGTTTATTATTAGTTTTTTTTCTACAATTATTTATTATTATTTTTTTTTTAGTTAATAACTTTTTATTACTTATAAAATTAAATTTACAAAAATTAATATATTTTACTTTTTTCAAATAAGAAATAAATAATAACAAACAAACAAACAATATTTTTTTTCACAAATTTAAATTTAAAGAAATATAAAGAAAAAAAACAAACAAATAATTTTTATATTTCTTTTGAGAAAATTTTCTCCAAACAGTTCTGATTGGATAACCAAACAACCATAAAATTGGTGATACCATCGTCCATCAAATGGGTTTGACTGCCGCGATAGTAGTCATCCTCCAGCAGTGTTGACTTAACTATCGTACCCTTGTATACAATTACAAACCACTTGTACTTTGTATTCAATCGCTTTACTTTTTTGTTTGACTACCGCAACCATTTGATTAATTGTCGGCTGATTTGGCCCTCGATCACAGCCTCGACAATAATGTCCTCAACTTTAGGACCGTAACAGGCCTGCGATTTGGCCATTAATTTTGCCAATTTGGCCAACAATTTAGCCCCGTTTTTCTTCTTTCTTTTTAAGTTTATTATCTTTCGCTGGAGAACCACTATCTTTGCTTTGACTGCACCCCATAATTACAATAAATATGTATAAAAGTTTATATCAATTATCAAATCGACTGTCTTAACAGAAAACAGATTATAAACTGACGGCTAAATCTAACGGTCAATAAAATTTTAATAACTGTTTTTTTTATAAATAACGGTTTATTTTTTTATTAATATAATTCTCGTATTTATTTTAATTAATCAAGCTAATTGTTTAAGATAATAGTTTTGTTTTGTATGTATTATTACCATACATTACCATACATTACCATACATTACCATACATTACCATACATTACCATACATTACCATACATTACCATACATTACCATACATTACCATACATTACCATACATTACCATACATTACCATACATTACCATACATTACCATACATTACCATACATTACCATACATTACCATACATTACCATACATTACCATACATTACCATACAATGACATACATTGACATACATTACCATACACAAAATTTTAATGCTGATTTCTTATGGCTGTTTTTGATGCTTTATACAAATCTATATTCAAAAATTTTTACCTAAAATTTTTTTACTTTGGCCGCCATTTTCTCTATGTTCCCGAAGAGATATCAAAATTTTAATATTTATCCCCTATACTTTATTTATTATGTTATAACCGAAACTGAAACCAGAATTTCAAAATTCGCAATATGAAAATCAACAGACAGACATACATACACACACACATATAGATTTCAGTAAACTAAATTTTTCTAAAAAATGTGTTTGAAAATTTATCTATATAGTAATTATTTATATATATATATATATATTGTTGTAAAATATAATTGTATCTAATTTTTTTAAAAAAATAATTTATAAATGTAATTAAAATTAATTAATTAAATAGAAAACATTAAATTTTATTTTTTGTTTAGTAATAATTTATCTTATTGATTTTTATAAATTAAAATTTAAATAAATATTTTTTTAATATCCATTTATTCATAAAATTTATTAATTATAATTATATATTATAAAATATAGTATATATGATATGATTTATATTTATCAAAAAAAAAACAATCAGATTTTTAATAATTATATTCAAATAATATAATATATAAAATAATAATAATATCATTTTATCAAATATGTAAATAATGTTTTTTAAAATAATTATTAAATTGATTTATTTATTTAAATTATCAAAAACTATAAAATAGTTTTACACATAATAATTAATATACAGTATATTAGGTAATGTTTGACAAAAATTAATTAATTAATTAATAATTTTTTTATTTTTCAAATTTGTATTAAACAAATACATAGATATATAGTTAGATATAACTATTGAATTGAATTTATATGTATTTTTTAAATAATAAATTTAAATATATATATATATATAATTATAAATATATATTAAGATAAGGGTTGCGAAAGATTTTCGATCTCAGGGGGCGGGAGTATAGGGTTGGGTAAAATGTCAAAATTTTTGAAAAAACTTGGGGGTGAACAATTTTTATTGCATTTTTAAACGACAATTTTTCCCAAATTTGAGTAAATTCCCAATAAATTCTCACCAAATTCCCTATTAATTTACAGTAAATTCCTTATAAATTTACAGAAAATTCCCTATAAATTCCTAATAAGTTCTTAGTAAATACTCAGTAAATTCCCAATTAATTATCATCAAATTCCCATTAAATTCTTAATAAATTCTCACATAAATTTCTAAAAAAAGGAAACTTAATTTCTTGATTCATAGAATATATTTTCAATCATATTATTTTTACAATAATAAAAAAATGAAGTTTTACATAATATATATAAGATATAAACAATTACTATAATTATTTGTCTACTATTTAATTAATTATTTTAAATGATGTTAAAATTACTTATATTGTACTATATTGTATTAAAAAATTAAATTGTAATTTAGTTAATTTAATTATTAATTATTATAAAATATAAAAAAATACAGATTAATATGTTTATTAAGAAGCATAAACAATTATTATAAATATAAAATAACAAAATCAATATTTTTTTTATAATTGGAGGGAATTTATTAAGAGACTATCCACCCTAGAGATGCCACAACTTTAAATAATTTTTTAGTTTTAAACAATTTTTTTACTAAAAATAAGCTATTTATTTATATTAAAACTCAATTAGTATTTATATTTTTGTTTTATATCACATTTTACATAAATGAAAAAAAATTCTTGAAAATTGGTGGGAATTTATTAGGGAACTAGTGGAATGCCACAATTAGTGTAAATAATGTTAAATTGATGTAATTGAGTATTTTTATCTATTTATTTTGTTAAGATAAGCTATTTATTTATTTTAAAAATTTTTTTAAGTATTTATTTAATTTTAAACTACACTAATCAAAAAAAAATTGGCCGAAAATTGGTAGGGGGCCGCCTAACTTTTTGGCTTTAGGCCAGAGGTAGTAAAACATAAAAATCTCGACCACAGGTTGGGGGGGGGGGGGTAAGATGGGATAGATCCCCCTACTATTCAAGCACTACACTTAAATAATTAGTACAACTGTTTACGTTCAAGTCATTCCTAGACTAGCTATTGCTAACTTATTGATAAATATAATGAGATATTCAATGAAATACATGTATTTAGTAGTTACAGTATTTTAAACAAATAATAAGTAATTTAAATTATTTACATAATTAATAATAAATTATAATTCATTTTAAACAACAAAACATAATATTAATAAATATATAATTAATAGGAAATTAGAAAATAATATCAAAATATAATTAATATAATTTAAATGTTTATTATTATTGCAATAATAAAATCGACTTTGCGGTCGCTGATGATGTTTGTCCCGTCATATAATATATACAGATATGTGTGAGAAAGTTATTAGTTTTATTATTATATAAATAAAATTAAAATTAATAAAATTATTTTAAATATTTATTTCATATATAATATAATAGTCGCGCATCACTTCCCTTTATGTATAATATATATTAACTTATAAAAATGATTAAAAATATGACAGTATTTTGTTGATGATTACTAAACATAATTATCTGTTTGTTGTGTTGTTATCTATTGATCACTCAATTTGTTTGTTGTTATTATTATTATTAATTGATATAATATAATATGTAAAATTATATGACAATTTTTGTTCATGTACTACTATATATATGTTTGTATCAAATTTTTGTGTCATTCAAACAATTAAATTTAATGTTTCGACCGATTGATTGAATTGAAACCGATTTTTGATGTTAGTCTTCAACAGAGGATAGCTCAATTGACACAAAAGCTACATTAAATTTAATTGATTGCGTAACACAAATTTCATACAAACATTTTTAAATTATAAAGTAATCTAGATTTGTTTTTATTATGTCTACAAAACCAATTTTTGAAAAAACAACGGACTAATAACTGACCACACCTGTACACGATGTATAGCTGGACAATGGCTTTAATAGCAAAGAAAAACTAGTATTATTATTGGACATGGATACAATCAATATTAATTAAGGCACAAAAATCTCCGACTGAGTTGACCATCACATAACCATCAGTTGCGAGCCGTCGTCCAACTCATGGACCCCATGTCCACGGAAAAAGTCATACTCTTCGAGGGAACACTTAAGGATAGTTTTCTTAAACACAATTATGAACCACTTGTAAGCTGTGTTCAGGCGTTTGACACGGCGTTTGATGGCAGCGACTGTAAAGATCCAGATTGTTCGGTTGGTTTATGGCTTCAACAACAATATCATCCACGCGTAGGCCGTATCTTGCGATCAAATTATTCCTCAATTTTTTCAACAATTTCTTGCGTTTGTCTACCATTTTCGTGTTTATCGGACTCTTGAACTCGATGTCCACCGAAAAAGTCATCTTCTTCGAGGATAGACTTAAGGATAGTTCTCTTAAACACAATTATAAACCACTTGTACGCCGTGTTCAAGCGTTTGACACGCCGTTTGATGACAGCGACAGTCATATCAAGAGTGGGAGTGTTTGGTTGATTAACGGCCTCAACGACAATGTCATCCACACGTTGGCCATATCGAGCAATGGATGCGGTTCTGAGTTTTGCCAGTTTGGGCATAATTAGATTAATTGATTCATCTATTTTATCATTATTATATTTTATTTTAATAAAAAATTATATTAAATTATAATAAAAAACAATTATATTGTTTATTATTTATTTATTTTTTTATATAATTATTATTATTATATATATATATATATATATATATATATAGAATTTATTTAATTATAGAAACAAAAAAATAATTTTATTTACAAATGAATCAAATATTTGGTTAAAATTGTTGTTTGAGATTAAATGAGAAAAACATATTAAATATACTGTATATATATATATATATATATATATATATATACAAAAAAATTGATACAAAAATAATAACTGAAACAAAACTATAGCAAACTATGAAAACAAATAATAATGAAAATAAATTCAAAAACATAAAACTATTTTTCCAATTCAGTTGAAAACCAAAGAACGATTAGTTGCGAGCCGTCGTCCAACTGATGGACTCTATGGCCACGAAAGAACTCGTCCTCCTCTAGAGTCGACTTCAGAATAATGCCTTTAAATACCATTTATGAACCACTTGTAGCTCGTATTCAGTCGTCGTTTGACC